CACTACTGGAATAAGAAGCAGTGGTATCTTTTTTGTGCAGGATTGTGCTTGAGTTTCTGTTAAGTGCAGATTTACTTAAATAATTAGCTCCCCAGTGGTCTGAATATATAAGGTGAGATTGAGGGTAAATCTTAAATAGGCCCTGTGGTGTTACTCTCAAAGTGTGTATCAACAGTCTGGTCATTTCCTGGAGTGATGAATAGAGATGTGTGGAAGATGGATGTCCCCCAGCTACACCCACACCTGACATACAGTATGATGCAAAGCGTGTGCTGATTTACACCGGTTTGTCACCACCATATGGCTCACATCACTCATTTCCCCAATGACCAGGATGGAGACCACTTCATCAAGGAGAGGGCAGCAGTCCTAATGGTCGTGGTTATGATTTGGACAGAGGGGGGAAGGGACAGAGGACTTTCGAAATCAGCCAAATCAAACAAACAGCCCCCAGCCCCCTCCACTGATTCCTCAATCAAGCTCGCCTCGTTTGTTTGCTAAACGAAAATGGGCTCTGTGAGCTCTCAACCCTGTGTCAATAAACCCGAAGAGGCAAAGCGATCAATGACAAAGAAGACATTCAATTTACGTTTAAAACCGAGGCTAATCAGCTAATTTGCTTGGTTCAATGTGGTATCCTAAGCTCCCCACAACGTCGACTCAAATGTCCTGGAAATGAGCATAAAGATTGTTTTCTCATTTTACATAAGTCGGTGAACTGTGGCCACAGTTTTTCATTCATGAGCTTATCTGTCAGAAAAGAGTTCCCTCATTGAATGGTAAGGATAGTGAAGAACAAATAAGGTGGTTTTGTGGTGCAAAGTGAATCTGGAATTTAATTTATGCTCTGGTTTTATTTTTGTTATTAGTATATTATGGAATTAAGTAGTTTGTTTTACTAATTAGGTTTATTTGTCAGGACCTGCTTTCAAAAGGATACATTCCAAAAGAAATGTTTAGAGACTTTATTGCAGGATTTCAGCTCTCAGGTTACACATGACACCTTGATGATGGTAGCATGGTGTTCATTCATGCCCTCACACTAATGAAAATCCTTGTCTAAATAGCCCAAACCACCTCCTCTAATTAAAAATGTATTTGATTTTTCTTTCTGTATGCTGGAGACAGGCAGGAGACAGCATTTTCCTGTATCTGCCGGTGTGGAAAATGCCATTGGTGGAGGAAAACAAATTCTAATGCAGCGTGCAATGTGGTGGAAATTATATTCAAACGTGATTGATCTGTTTATCCTGGATGGGAGCAGGCGACAATTTAACATTATTACCTTTTCCAAAGGCAGAGTCTGCGATTTAAAATAAACAGTAATCAGTCTTATTTCACTCTTCCAAATGACACCATCATCCGTGTTTGTTTATTCAGCCGTTTACTCTTGTTTTGGTTGATGAATTCATTCGTTCACTCATTCATTCACTCATTCCCTTTCAGTTCATTTATCTGCCTATTCACCACAGACTAGCACATGTAGAAAAACAAAAAAAAATGGGTATGCGGTTGGGTTCCTGTATGCAATTCAGTCATCTGCCTCGCCTTTAATTAGAGCATGATAACATGTTTTTAAACTCTATCCCTCTCTGCTTCGTGTTCCCCGTGAAAGGCTCATGAATAAATTGAGGAGGAACATCCACTTTTGAACTCACTGGGCTTTACAGTACAAGGAGACGAGTGCTGCTCTCAAAAATGTGGAGCAGGAGATGACAGGAAGAGTTCTAAAACTGTGCATTTGCGTCTTCTCCTTCACCACAGATTATAACTGATATCACTGATTATAACTGCAGTGGCAAAGCAAAGACTAAAGACTATAATATCTAAAATTAAATGGACTGAAAACCTAATTTATCTTGTAGATCACTAAAGCAGCCTCTGTGTAAAAGTCATATGTGCGTATAACATGATAAAAAGGAAACAAAACATTTTGTCTCAGCTGGCCATTTATATCCATGGCTGTGGTACACGGCACTGCTGTTTAACACACTTCTGACAGGCTGACCGGATCTGCTGTATGTTTAAAGAGAGACTAAAATAATGAACATTGACCTGGAGTACATTTATTTTATTGGTTTGAGAAGGAGCTGACAATCTGAATGTTCCTGATGTGGGGTTGCATGGCACAGGAGGGAAAGAGCTTTACTGACCCATAAACAAACATCCGATTTGGATCAATAAGCAGAGTGGCCAATGCCGCCTTCAGATGGTTACCATAAATCTGCGAGGGCCGCCCTCTCCCTCATTAAATTATAAAGGATCTGCGAGCCGTGAAACACTAACAGCGAAGCATCACACTGGTTGCTAAAAATAGCGGGGACTAAACAAAAGAGTTTTTTTTCCCCTTCCACATTCATATTGTTACTCAAGAATCCTTTTAACTACCCACTTCACTCATTCCCCGAGGTCAGTCTAGAGAGGTGGGCAAAGCCAGGCATGGTGTGTTTGCAGGGTGTCGTCCGTGCGTCAACAAAACACTAACACGTCCCGGTGATGTCATGATGAGGGAGATACAGCTGTTCTGGTGGACTGGAACACTCGCACTGAGGCACTCCGTCTCTGCCAGGAGGTCCGAGGTGCATCTTGTTGCTCCAATTTAAATTGCAAATCCACTTAAAGTACATAAGTCAAGAGTGCTCCCAGCTAAAATGCAAGCCGTGTTGTCTGTGGAAGATTTTAAAAAATCATGGACCTTGCACTCAGGAGGATTACATTTTCATGCGCTAAAAAGGGGGAAAGAGAGTCCCAACACATTATCATCGTCACCTCCAGATGGGGCAGCCCCACACAGAAAATTATATTTATCCTAAAAGAATATCATGCATTTTTCCCTAACATAATATAATGCATTTCACAACTGGTCATATGTTTTCAGTGCAATGAGAAATGGGTGTGTTCTTGGTGATGTGAAACTAATCAGGGAGAGAGAGCAGTTTCCACACTAGTGACTTTTCAAGGCCCGGTGGTATAAATATCAACCATCTGTGAGGCCATCTGCATTGGGGTGCTATATCATGCACCAAGGCCAAGCCACCAAACGCAGACAAGTTGCCTCCCATGGCACTATCTACACTGCACGGGAGACAAGTAACGTATCGCAGAATCGCTGCTATCAACAATGGATCTGCCCCATATCTTAGGTAGTGTCGTTATTCATCCATACTTCAGTTAGGTCATCTTTTAAAGGAGCAATTGTGATAACCTCAGTGCTGTATAATGCATTGTGCAGCTGCATGCTCCACCCTGCCTCCGGATTTCATCTTTCTTCCCGAAAAGCCAGCTTTAGGGGGAAAAACATAGATGTAATATATGTTGGCTATCAGGTACGTTTTCAATCAAGTGTTTTTATCTGAAGTTAGATTACAGTAGGACGGCTGTGATTGCAGGGCCAAACATGCCTGTTACAACCAGCCATCCATCATAGTTTGACAATTGATATTGCAACGGTTTCGAGTAGTTTTTGCTTTTGTTACTTTACTACACTGACTTCTGTGTACTGACTTCTGCAGGGATGAGTTGCAATGAGACTGTGACCTTTTATATTCAGTTGGAAATACAGAGATAAACAGAGCGACACAAGCAGAGATGGGGAGTGTTAGTACAAACAAATACCCGACCACACAAGACTGAAGACATCACGTCAATGTGTCTTATCTTGCTCTTGCAACATCTGGAATGAGGTTGTGTGTGTTTGTTGCGCCCTCTGTGCTTCATCAAGTGTTCTCTGTGAACATGTGTTTCTTTGTATCTGTGTGTTTGCGAACGAGAGAAAAGAAGAGAGACAGAGCGCACAAGTGTGTGTGTGTGTGTGTCGACTTGTGCATGTGAGACATTGTTTCAAGCTATCTAGTTATTGGAACGGAAAGGAAAGGAGGAAGGCTGGTGCTGAAGAGCAGGCCACTCGAGGGGGAAAGAGAGAGCGAGAGAGAGCAGAGGGGGCCACTGGCGAGTGGAAATCCTTTTGTTATTTCTGGAGATTGTTGAGACACAGAAAAGGGGGATTAATTTGTCTCAAGGTCTGAGAGCAGACAGCAGCACTCCCCCTTTTTTGCTGTTTGTTTACCTAACTTAGATCATGCTGCTCTTGTGAAATATCTTACCCAAAGCTGGTGATGGGATAAATCTTGCATGGCAGTTTTAAAAACGATTGATAGAATAATCCGGAGACTGAGAAGCTGGTGGACAAATAAAAAAAATATGGTAAGCGAACAAAAACATGCCTTCTGGTTCAAAACAGATGTTTAACGTGCCTTTGATCACTAGCATGCGTCATCGTAGCCTGCAAAACATAAATAGCGTGGAAAATGTATCATGCTTTTGAAGTTGAAACAGGAGGCATTTCTTGTTTTTTGATGTAAAATCATACTAGGGTAGACTGACAATCCAAATTATTCCTTCTCAGATTAATTGCTTGGTCAGTAGAATGTCAAATCACAGAACCCAAAGTGATACCATCAGACTGCTTTGTCTAATGATATTCAGTGTGGGATCGTAAGTGGAAGAAAAGCAGCAAATCTGCATTTAGAAACAGTGAATTTTTGCTTAAAAGAGGATTTAACTTAATTTTGATCTGATCGATTTATGGACTATCATATCATTTCAGCCCTAAGCACTGGGGGAAAAAAAGCTTTAAAAAAGTTAAACCATGTTAAATGATGTAAAGTAATGTATAGTGATATAGATTGATATATTAGATTGCAAAATACTATAACATTTCAAGGATGAATTTCAGATAAGCTCATAAGCTCAATAGGAACTGACCATATACTCACTATAAACCCTATCCAGTTCCATATTATAGAACTATTTTCATTAAAAGCAACTTTGATTCCTTTCACATCAGAAGGAATGGAGCCGGCAACACCTAACAACAGGACTCACCTCCTCTCAACAAACCCTTTAGTGTGTGCTCGGGCTGTGTAAGAGAACTTCAGACTCTAGAGGTCTCCATCCTTCAGCATCCACCTATTCGCCCTCTCCCCCCCCCCTCCTCTCTAGCATTTTGTGCAGCGGAGGAGGAAAGGAGGAGAGACTGCTGAGGTGGAGACAGAGGGGACCCTGAGACAACACGTCCCACGCCAGAGCCAGACAGCCAGGGAACTTTGATTTGACGCCAAGTAGCCCGCGACGAAAATGACGATGAAGAGCAAGAGCCACGTTTCTTCTTCTTCTTCTTCTTGGGAGGCTTAGACATGTCGGGCGTGTGCAACATATGATGTCCTTGGACTCATGTGCTCAATGAAGATTTATTTGTCTGTGATTTCGCTCTTCCACTCGCTGATGGTGCCGCTCCGTTGTGCCTGCACTTAGGTCAGCCGAATGCATTTGAAGGCAGTCTGAGCGCATTGTTTCCAGCTCCGTTGCATATGGGATTTCCAGCCGTGATGTCTGCAATATTTCGCTCTTTGTTTCTCGGTAAGTCACTTCCCATTCCTTTAAAAGATAATTATTTTTATTTTTTTTTAAAAGCAGCGTAACGATGTGTACATTGTCTGTCGTTGTTCTATTTCTAATGATTCTATAATACATTTGTATTGTTTAGCGCGTCCCTAACAACACATCTGCCAACATTAGAATGATGTCACGATTTTTATTTTTATTTGATGTATCACCCTTCCACTTTATAAGGCGCATGTTAAGAAATTGCCATTTCTATTAACGCGTATGAAAATGCACAAGTCAACCTTGATTTTCAAGGCTGCTCTATGCTCAGGGGAGCTCTGAAAAAGAGGGGGAATTAAAGGGGGATAAAAGTTCACCTGACCGCTCCCTCCCTTTAAATCTGCTATTTATTTATTCTGTGTGTGCATCTATATCCGAAACAGGCCTGCTGCAAATAAACAAAATGTTTTTTTACCATTGTTTGACAAAGACAAAAAAAAAATCCCTGGTGTAGCACATGCAGCAACCACTAAGATATTTTCCATATACTGTCTCATTAGCACCATTTTTTTAAGTGTCCTGGATTTTATTTTGATAATCTAAAAAAAATGTAGAATTTGTTTTTTGTTTTTCAGCTTGAAACGAAGATTGAGTTCATTGGTTTGTGTCTTATGATCATAAATGAGAGCTTTCTTTGTCGATCAGACAGCAATTTATGTTATCACCACTAACTCCCGATACGGACACTGCTTCTATTACCACTATATTATAGTAATGTACTGAGGGCCTGCAGGAGGTTCAGAGCCAAATGAGGGATTGTTTAATTCCACTGACTGGAAGTTACAGTAAGACAGAGTGTAAGAATGACTTCCAGTAAAAGGTTTCACACTCCTTACTGCTGTCTCATCACCTGCAGTGGAATTTCCCTAGATGGGTTTAACTGGGGATAAACCAGCATTTTCCAACAGGGAGTTTACAGGCTGAAGTGACTAGGAATTAGGGATACTTGGTATAAAAAAGTTTTGAAACCCCTCAGTTAAAGTAAGAGTGGTTGAGAGTGGCCATATGTGGGATAATGCACCCAAGAGCTGGCGGCTCGTCAGCTTTGGTTTGAGTCCAAACGTCGTGCTGTAGACTGCGTGCTGCTTGCTGTTCATGGGTTTGCAGTTTGGAGAGAATCTAAATACTCGATCATTTGTGTTTAATTTCTCTTTTTCTATTTAGTTTAGACATACAGCTGGTATTATTTACTCATCCTTGATGCAGGTTAGGCTTGTAGATGCATAAAGAGTTTGTTTCCTTCAGTTCCTATTATTCAGTTACTTACATATTGTGGTGACTTCTCAGGAGACTAACTTGTCCCTTGCTCAGTGCATTCTGGGAAAGGCCCCAGTCCCATCTGACCCCTTTAAGAAGATAAGCAGTATAGAAAATGGAAGAATGGAGATGAGATGTTGACCTGCATACATGCTGACGTGTTAAGGCCCAGTCAACCAGTGAAACCACAGTGTGTTCCCAGTGGTGATGGTCACTGATCCTGTGCTTTAACCAAAGGAGCTGACTCGGCAGTGGACACCACATACCAACACATTTTGTGGTTTCAGTCATCAACCTTGTTGTATTAAATGTGATTCAAGCTAAACATGTAGATTATCCAAATACCAGTTCCCTACTGATGATGATGATGATGATGATGATGATGATGATGATAAAAAAACACAACCAATCATTAGCTGGCAAAGCTGAGCCAGCCATTGCAAGGTGAAAACATTACCCATTAGTTTATTCAACAGTAATTTATTCCCTGATAAAAATAATAATTGTAGACTTCTCTTAAAATAACCATCAGCCTGAGCCTAGGGTATTAAATGACTTGTTGTTGCCATGGTGAGGCCTTTTCTCCTTCCCCTGTCATGTCATAAGATATGACAATATAAAACAATGCATGCAGCTGAAAACGATATCATTAGGGTGAACGACCAGTACAGTCGCAACCTGGGTCATGTGTCTCTCATGCAAGAACAAAATATCTGCCAGTCAGCCAAAAGAGCATTTTTCCCTGACCGAGCGGGGTGATATGTAGCTTTTCAGGCTAGGCTGTTCTGCTGCACCACACTGAAGGACATTTTCCTAAAGTTATTGCCTGTATTAATTCAAGATCAACACCAAGGCCAAGTAAAGAGAGGAAGTGGCTGTTTTATTATAAAAGAATCAATAGTCATTAATAGGGCCTCATTTCCTTTTTATTTGGCTTTGGCCTCGTAAGTCCTGAGACATCCTTAATTTAATATCTGTTGGAGATGTAATATCCACTGTTCACATTACAGATAAGTAGCACAATTAATTGCCACGGAGAGTTCCGTAGCTCCCTTCTGTAACTATGTCGGCACAAAGTAAGAAACAGAACAAGGTCAAGTAGAGTAACGCAGTAACAGTGTAGTCGATCCAGCCAGGTAAAGGAGACTAGTGATGGATTGCCGACCTGTCCCGGTGCCAGGATTAAATGATTCTGAATTGGGGAATTTGAAAATGACTGTCCAAGAAGTAATAACATAGTGTAAGTCACTTGACAGAAATGTAATTGGAAAGAATGAGCAGCTTTTATAGATCCAAACGTTTGCACCCTCCCTTGCTGTTCGTTTGAGCATCAGTCTATAAAACAATGAGTAAGCATGGGAATGCAGTAGGATGTTAGCATTAGTGTGTGCTGATGCTTGTTCGTTTACATGCGTGCATACACATGTATAACAGCGACAAGATTGCAGTGCCTATGCACGTATGCTAGTGTTAGATGTAGATAAAGAGAGCAGTGGCTCCAAACAGAAATTCTGTCCCCATTCTATATTTAGCATGTCTGCCGGGGTAGGCAGAGGATCTCTGAAATGTGAAGATGACAGGAGCCTCCTGAGCCAGAGGTTATGAAGTGACATCTTGATGTGTTTGCGCCTGAATCACACTCCCACACACACCCAGCCAAAGACTTCTGACATTCCTACAAACCCAGAGACATTTCAATATTTGACGTCTAGTTACCATACATTAAGGCTCTGTTTTGATCTCCTTTTGACTCGCATTATTCTTCGGCGTTATCATGTGGCACCCCCTGTATATGTTTTCAGCTTTGAAAATTTGTGTTTTTTTGAGAGCATGTGATGAATTTGGCACATCTGCTTTGCGGGACTCAAACATGTACAATATTTAAAGTGTTTGTCAGTTAGGTGTGGAGCCTGACACAGTAAGTTAACCTTCATCTCACATTGTGTAAACCTTTACTTTATCAATGATATTTTATTTTATTAATGTTTATTTAGAGTTAATTTGATGAACGTGATGCACACATATCACAACTTTATTTTCACACACAGACTGAACAAAGGGATATACATATATGTACTCAGGAATCAATATCCAGTAGAAATTGCTTTCAAGCTGTGGGACATACAGTACAGTAGAGATGCAGCTGTTCAGGGAAAAATAGAAAACAGCTAGCAGTGCATAGCTCCACATTGCTAAATGACTTCCTATACACCTACAATGTCAGCGATTTGACATGCCGAACAAAGTGTAAACAGATTTCCATCCCAGAGAATTGTATTACTCAAAGCAAAAATGGGAAATCTGAATTTCTCTGCAAGGGCAGAGCACTCTGGAATACAAAACCTCGACCAAGGGTGACTCAAGAAGCCTACAGATGAGTACAGAGGTCCAGCCTTCCTCAAAACAATTGACCCATATCATTAACAAACACTGATTTGCCTTCCAAGCACTTTCCCCCTGATGTGTATGGCCTTTGAATGACAGCGTGCTTCCCTGAATAACAAGCCATCCTTTTTTTGTACCTGAGGGATTCTTCATGTTTCATTGATTGTAGAGCTTTTAGTCAGAAGGTCTTTCTATTCTGTCGCAGCAAGCTGGATGCCATGCTTCCGGTGAATGAGAGAGTGTTTGTAGGTGAAACTATACCTGCTTTGTACTATAAGTGCTTTTATTCCTACTAGTAGAGAGTCAAGGCAGGTTGTATTTTTATAGCAGCCAAAGTACGTCCGAGGTAAAAATAAAGGTCGCACTGGTGGAATGACAATATTTCTTTGTTTGACAGTTTCTTCATCTTTCTTCCTGCTGTGTTTCTGCCACACCCATACTTTCCGAGCTATCGAGCATTATTCTGTATGGGCGTTTTGTCACTTGAATCTTGTAAAACACTAGACAAATGCCTAGACAGAGCTGGGTTTGTGTAGTGTTTCTGACCTACAAACCCTCCCCCTTTTCATCCTTCACTGGGAAAATTACTGCCAGATTATTTTGGAACGTATGAACAGGAACTGCCTATTTCACTTTACTGCTAATCTTTGACAGATGTTCTGGAGAGACTCACATCCACATTAACTGGAGCCCCATGCACAACCTACACATGACATTATACTACACTAGTGTGCTCTACTGCTGTACACAAACAATTCAAGACGTTTTCTACATATAAACTATCATGCATACGTGACAACTACCTGCTGTTTTATACAGTACAATGGGTAAACCATAAGATCATATCTTCTGCTATTTCTTGGATGTGACTAGTAACTTTCAGTAACTAGAGTCTCTGCTGGTTCTCAGCCAAGAACCTCTGTAAAACAATAAATTGTAATTTTTACATGTTTGTTTTATTGTACATATTAAACAAACAAGATGTAATGTGTTAATTAATGAGGTGTACAGTCTTTGAACACTACCAAGCTAGTTTTTTACTGTGTCCAGTCTTTATGCAAAGCTAAGCTAACCGGCTGCTGACTGTGGCTTTATATTTACTGTACGGACATGAGAATGGTAGCAAGGTTCTCATCCAACTCTTGTCAAGAAAATATTGGATATTCGATTTGAAAGCTCATTGCTAGGAAGTTGCTCCTGAGATTTTGCTCAGTAAATTTGATGTTTTTACAATCAGTGATAAATCAATTGGCAGAAAATTAACCAGCAACAATTTTTTCAATCGATTAATTATTTAAGTAATTTATTTAGCAGAAATTAATTCTCTGTTT